ATATATCACACAAGTCAAATGAAGGGTTTATGTCCAAACAGATGAAAAACACAAGCAGGACATTTTGCCTGACTCAGTGGTCCTTAATGTCTTTGTTCATCCGCAAGAGGGGGCGCTAAACTTTGACAGACAGGAAGTTTGACAACAATRAACACAAACAGAGCGCAGGGCTGAACGATAAGAACATATTAGCTTTATTGACTTTGTAGTTTTATATGGACTATGTTCCTGGTTTCTTTGTTGTTTGTGGCAATATTCTGWTGAGACAGTAAAATCTAAAGCTGATATATTTGCAGTACACTGTGTTTCACATCATCTAATGTAGTTCTTCTCAACTGTATTCTCTAGAACAGAGGAGCCYAAAGTGGGGCCCGCGGGCCATTTTATTTGGCCCACCAGCAGTAGTTATCTGTCGTCCTTTTTAGAAACAGTATTTTCTCTTAGTAATTTCATTCATTGGCCCAATGATTATATAAGGGGCTATAGTGCAGATAGTTTTCACTCATGGTGCTGAATGTATCTTTGATATGTTAAGATTAAACATGAAGCATGAAATACAAATAAGAGATATTTATATTAGATTTAACCACACGTGTAGATTTTCACACTTTATAAGGCTGTAAAAACTCATATTTTATCAATTTATGAAATTCCCCATGAGCCTTTACTACTTGAGTAGACCTTCTCCAGGTGCACTGACTAAAGCCACCACACTGGCTGCTAGCTTAATCATAAAAAATAAAGGACTTTAATTAAAATGTATTTGTATTTCATGTATTTTATTGCTGCATTTGTTCTGCAGCCCCAGGTAGATTTTTATTTTGGCCCTCTTGGGGAAAAAGTTTGGGCGCCCCTGGGAGTAAACATCCTAATTGTAGGCCGCAGCCCAAGATGGGCAGTGGTGATTTTTTTATTTATTTATTTTTTGCCTGTTGATGTTTGTCTGTTAGCAAAACTTGTTACAAACCAGAGGATAGATTTWAATGAAACTTCCAGAAAGTAATCACTGGATGTTCATCTACAACTTTGGAGTCAATCCAATTGAAYATGACTGCAAAACTCACATGACCTCAGAAAACACCGAAACGGCTCAATGAGTCCAGTTTATTACGAGCTTATGACTATAAGTGCTACTCATTGGATCTTTACAACTTTAGGTTTTGGTACTTGAGTCAACCCTGTTAGCAAAATATCTAATGAACCCATTAGATGGATTTTGATTCCTTTTAACATTTCTCATAAATCARCCATTATGTAATGTAAATCAATAACTGATTTACATTTGGAGTCAGTCCAACGGACACATTAGCCAACACAAAAATGAGTGTAGCCCGATCAGTTTGAAAGATATTGAGATAAAATTCAGTGTATTTGAGAGTCATCCTTAACAAGCCCTTTCAGATGAGATTGCAGAAACAATTATTTTWAAGATTTGACCAAAACTGAAACAAATCCATCATTTCTCAACAAAAGATCATCCTAATTTAAAGCTCTAACATGAAATGTTTGCACCACATGAAGTCCAAGCCTTTGAGGTCGTAGTGATGCACCAGTGCGGTGAGGTCCGGGTCCTGTCTGACTCACAGAGAACCCGACAGACCTCAGGTTTTTTTGGAGGAGTCTCAACCGGTCTGGGTTCTGTCTCGGATTTCTTGGAGCAGCRTTCCCCTTTAAGCCTGCAGACTATTGTCTTAAGTCCTCCCATCTGTGGGGGTGGCTCTGCAAAAAGTTTGCAGAGGAAAGTTTTCAAGCTGTCACTGGTTGTCGGGAGGAGACTGATGGAGGACAGGGGGACCAGCCGTTCGCGAGACAAACATTTACAAAGTGCTCACAGTTAGTTAGACTCGGAATGCAACCCAAACATCCCGCGGAGACAAAACATGCCCAGGCCTGAGGTGGGGGACTTTACTGGGACTGGCACACTTTTAGCGCACGGTGGTCGCAACAAAGCGGAAAGTGCACTCAGGTCTCATGGGCTTCATCTGAAGTGACTGCTGGTGGAAAGAACAAAGGCATTAGATGTTCCACACAGCCAGGTTACTGTCCTGACAACATGAGCCGTTTGGAGAGGAGGTTCCGCGCTGCTGGACGAAGAGCGTCTCCGGGTCTGGTCTTCACCATTCTTCTTCTTCTGATGCTGGGAAGCCGCAGCAGAGCGTTAGGAATGTTCCATGAAACAGGTTAGTGGGAATCTGACACGTTTCWAAAGCTTTCAGAGTTTTTGTAAGATATGTGTGTTGGCTGAGCAGCACACAGCTCACCCCGCGCTCTGCTGCTCCGAGTGGGTCTGATTAAAGCAGAGGCAGCAGAGGCCAGCTGTGTGTTTACAGTCTGACTGCTGACCACAGCRGTCCTGCTCAGTCTGTGCTGCAAGAGCTGCTGACAGTGTGCAGCAGAAATGTAAAATCATTCATATCTAAACTTATTGAGAGCATGGGTGCTTTGACAATTATTATTTTGTAACTTTTATATTTTGCAAAAATGATTAACTTTACACCCCTCCCTCTTAGAAATAGCCTACACTTAGTTCATTTAAAAACATTGTTCACTTTGAAATCTGCTGCATCATAGATTACTTGCTTTGTATTTGTTCTTATGCTACATAGTTTTTAGCTACTAYTTGGCTACTTTCAGCTTATAGCTACAAATTTAGCTAATTTTAGTTTAACCTTTGCTGCTTTTGACTTCGAACCTTATTTTTCATACTTTCAATAATATAGTTAAATTTTAGCTACTATTTTGCTACTTTATGCTAAAAGTAGGCTTTGACATTTCTTAGCYTGTAGCTAACTTTTTGCTACATGTAGCTGTCAGATGCCTTTTAGTTGCTTTTGTCTTTTGCTGGCTTTCTAGAATAGTTTTTGATTTTAGGGTTTTGCTAGCCTTTTGCCACTTTTAACTTCTAGCATTTTACTGTTTTGTATTTAGTTCTTTAGTACATTTAGCTTTTATCTAGMCTTTTGCTAGTTAGAACTTTGCTACTTTGAGTTTTAAGTAGCGTTTTGCTACTTTATCCGTCAGGTAGCATTTTGCCTTTCATAGCTTTTTAAAAAAGTGTTTCGGAGAAACTGAGAAATTTATTTTCTAAACATGATGTCCCAGTGGCTTTCAAACCCCAAAACACATTACGGCAAAGG